TTTGCCTTTTTTGGCCGTTTTCCCACTTCGGACGAATTTGCCCCACTTGCACTAAACTGAAGGCTGTTTTGTCACTTTTTGTTTTGTCACATCACAGAGAGCGAGCCACGCTACCAATGATTTGCCACTAACAGTGTGTGACTAGACAGGGAACCAGTCAAAGGCATTGCGTATTAGCTGCAACACAAAACAGCCTTGATTTTCCACAAGTAATTAGATTGACAGGTACTCTCGCAGATCTGAATGAAATTCGTAGGTGTATAGGCTACCATTATTTAATCATACAAAGGCATCTGTGTAATGTACAAGTCAGGCCAAAATTCGTCCAGTGTGGGAAACGGCAAAAAAAGGCCACTTTTTTCTTCCAAACGAGGAAAAGGCAAGTTTTCTGCAATTAGCAATCTAGCGGATAGTTTACACTGTAAGTAGTGAACATACCGGTGCAATTTCAGCTCATAAAATCAAGCAGATATTTAGTTATGCACCCGGATATCCTGGATAAAACTTTTCGGAAGAAATCCCCATGAATCAAGACAGGGCCCAGTATGCGACGGAGGAGTTTTCGTCAGGCCCTGTTTACGGGTCTAACTTGGAACTAGACTATACAATTACCACCGATGCACAGCAAAGGATTTTTCATGATGCACGGACCCCACAGACCCACACAGAATACCAGCAGAAATCAAATTGCGTGCAGGCTGTTCAAGATGCCAGTAGACTTTTTCAGTACAGGGTAGATGCGTGGATTTTGGGTGAGATCATACCCAAGTTAACTTGTACCCGGCTCAACTTGTACCCAGCTCAACTCGTACTCCCCAGACCCAGTTAGCAGAGAATGTGCAGAGCATAATATGGGTTTTGATGCTCACATTTATTGATTGCAAACGTATGTACCAGTCGGATTTCGTTCAAAAATCCCCACTGTATTTGGAAGTAGGACATAAATGGCATCTGACTACAGTGCCCCCTGAACACAGATGTTCCGGAGATGGCATGTTAAGTCCCTCTCTAATCAACACCTTTGTCCATTTTTTTTTCTTGGATGGCTTGTTTAATTTGAATTAATAAAATCTGTGAATACACTCTGATTGAATGTGTATGTTTGAGGTTAGTTCCTTTTGGGGAGAAGGCGCGGGTGCAAAGAGATTTTTTCTTTTTCTTTTCTATCACAGTGGCCTGGGATAGGAAATTTCCATAATTTGTAGTTGATGTTAGTATTGGACTTTAACGGTCTCCAGGCACAGCCT